ACAAAGTACTTCCTTATTTACAAGAGAGGACTAGAAAATATTTATACCATAGCCATATACCAAAGGGGAAAATAAAAATAACCTAGGGTTACACACCAAGCACAACACGAGAGTTTCTTCTTGTGAAACCAGTAAATATTGTCAATATTGTTCCTTCAGAGAAAATATGTTGTCCCAGGAGCCATCTCAGGTCAGACAGAAAAAGGTTCTCACCAACTATTTCCTTTAATCATATTGAATATAACATTCTGAGCCAGACTCATAATCACCCAAAAAAAGGCTGTTTCGTTTGAGAAAACAGCCCATGCTCCAATCCCTGTACACTTCTGTCACACTGGGAACCTCAATGTGATCGTTCAGAAGCACGCACAGCTTTTCTGGCTGAAGATACCAAGTCTAGAAGGAAGTGTGAGAAGCTCAGCAATGGTACAGGGGGCTACCAAGCTGGATAAACCAGGAGGAGAATTTCGCAGCTCACTGACTAAGGTCAGAAGGCAAAGGAGATAAAGGCACAAAGACAGTTAACAGTCATACCCAGTGGGCTGCAGTTTTGGAATTGGCTTTTATTCCTGCTATATGAGCCCATCAGCTGTAGGGTCTGTATTCCTCAGGTTATAGAAGCCAATCTTTCTAAATGGGGTTAGTTAAAAAAATAAATGACTGTGAAGGGATTCAGAGCCAACTGGAGCATACAGCTAAACCTTTCTAAAAAGACATCAAGGAACTTCCCACCTCTTATATTAGGACAGAAAACCAGAACACCACATCTCTCTAAAGACAGAAAATGCAGGCTTACTGGGGAAAATACCTTAAAAACAGTGAAACAAATGTACCTTTTTCAGATCTTTGTTCCACTCTTGCTTCCAGCAGCCTCCAGTATCCCAGAAAAATCTTTTCCTGACTTCAGGATGTTATTCAGAATCCCCCCCAATGCACAGAAATCCCAAGCATCACCCAAGCATCACATGGCCACCCCACACCCTTCTCCCAGGTGAGCAAAATCCCACCTCTCCAGACCCACAACACTCTGATTTGCTACCCAAACAGAAAAACAACTGCAGAATAATTAGTGATAAAGCAATAAAACCAGTAAGCAGCATGGTACAGAGACAAAATATCTGTAGCTTCATATTCAATAGAGGTGGCATACGCTGAGACAGTTTTCTTAGCTGGACAGGTAAGGAAAAAACACAGAATTCATGTTTCTCATTCTGTGCTGCATATGACCCATTTGCTTCACTGGCTTCCCCTGCTTTATGGCTTCAACAGCACCATTCCAGGTTTTAATTACTATTAAAATTTCTAATTTACTTTGACTTTATCAAAGCCCATCAACAAAAACCCTCTCTGCAAAACATCAGAAAATTTCTCAGGTTCACTGGGTTATTTCTGTGTTACAGGGATAGAAAATAACAGTGGCTTAGGACACTCATGCAAATACACTTTATAACTACTATGGGTCTAACATTAAACTCTGACAAATATTATTCCGAAGCATTCTGAAATGCTGTGATGCGAAATGAGACTGAATTCCCAGGTGGTCCTGGCTAATCTGCATCACTCTCAGAGATCTCTTCAATTGACACCTTGAAAAATGATGATGATCTGCTACAACCTGTCTTAATTAATTGAACTGTTCTTCCCCTCTCCTCCCCCATGTTAATACACCTGATGTGCAGAATCAGTAATCTGAATAATTGCAGTAGGGAAAGCAGGGGCACTGAAGGCAAATGTAGGAAAGTGCAAGAGAAGGATTTTTATTAAAAAGAAATCAGTCACCCATAGGCGAGAGCTCTGGTTAAAATTAACATCTTAAACCAATTTCTGCTGTTTATAATAAATGAGCATTTAAATAGGAATTGTCTATAAAACAGAGCGGGTATTTCTGCCACCTTTTTGCATTTCCCCAGCTCCTTGTTCAGGCTCAGGCTTTTTTTTTTGTAAACAGGGAGTTTATTGTAACATGTGCTCCCAATAGCCTCAAGAGGCAGTGACAGGACCTCAGGTCTCAGTGAGCTATGCCTGTGCTTCGATGGAAACTTCTTGTCAACAGGAGAGGGGAAAGATTTGGTTTTCAAAATAATTTTTATAACTAATGACTCTCAATATTACCACAAAGATTAAGCTTTTAATCTTCTTTAATTTGATGTAAATAAGATTTATTTCAAAGGAAATTAGAAAACACAATGACGTTATCCCCAGGAGTTCTCCTTGTAAGTTCTAGCAGACTAATTCATGGATAGCTTTATATTTTAAATAGTGCACTATTTCGATATTACATCTCCTAGAAAGCTTATTTCAGCTAAATGTGCAAATAATGATAACAAACCTCCTGTCTTTTCAGATGTTGCCAGCACAGTGGGATGAGCAGAGCCCCATCCTTCGCTATCAAAGCCACGACTGCTCACACCAGCCAAGTGCCGCTGCAGTGAGCTCTGCCTGGCCAGCACGGCCCAGGTCTCCTGCAATAAAGTCAATTTTACTTTCTGCATACCCTCAGTACCCACCCAAGATAACTGAAACCCCAGGCGAGACTTCAATACACTTGTAGTTCATGGTAGAGGCTTTCTTTGTCACCAATCAATGTTTGCTCTGAGCCAGTTACAGAGCTGAGAACTAAGAAAGAAAGGGATAGATTTTGTGTGCAACACAATGCAGTTCGGTCCCATTCAGTGTAATCCAGAGCTGTTAACCATAATAATGTAAACATGCACACACTTTTCCCTGGGATAGGAAGCTTGTGTTAATCATCTGACTTAGTCTTTCCATTATCTTGAAATCATTATTTCCTGTTTGCTGGTAATAACATTATCTGGTTAGGCAAGCAATGCAGCTCACATTTTTTAAATAATATGCTTCATAATATACTATGTATATATATTGCATAATAAAGTGAATGGAAAGAGTAATTTTATCCCAATAACATGCTTTAGAGCTTACAGTAGCAAAAATCATCTCCAGTGACGTTTGAGGAGAGTGGAATTTGAACTGATATTTTTTATTTTGCAAGGTGATCTGTACAAAATTAAGTACCTGATTATGGGTTAGATATATATTGCAATCATTTTTCCCATGAATTCTGAAGAGACAATCTCTCTCCCTGTCTTCAGGCTAAAACAGAGCATCACAAGAGTAGGGGCTCAGAGCAATGACAGGATATAATAGGTTCATACCACCAAAATCCTTCTTTGAAAAATTTATAAGATGGGGAGAAAGTGTCTTGTTTTCTTGTGTCTTTAATATTGCATTTCACCATCTACTACAAAGGCAGAGCAATAGGATATTTTTCTTATTAAGCAGAGTTTTCTTGATGCCTGAAATAAATTAAAAGTCTCTTTCAAAGAAATCTCCTACGTTTTGTAAATTAAAGCCATGTAACAGTCACAATTAGCATTTTAAACATCTGAGAGTGTGAGAGCTGCTGACTGAAGACTAAAATTTCCTCCATTAAAAAGCAGTTTGACTCGTCTTAATACAACCCTGTAATAACAATTAAAGACAAGCAAAACCTATCCTTCCCATTTGTTAGTCAGAACCTTCAAAGGAATTGATGTTTTTTAATTTAGTTTTAACTCAAATGGCCAGGCTGCAATCCTTAATTGGGGCTGTTGTCCATAACGAGGAGCGCAGGCCTCAACAGTAATCAGTGCTGAGCAGCTTGGCTGGCACACACTGCCTGCCATCACTGCAGCCGCATGGACACCCTGCAGCATCCCCGGCTGATGCTCAAGTGCAAATCCACCCATGCTTTTGTCCACTCTCAGATTTTAAACATTTGGAATGGAAGCACTATGGATTGAAGAGATACTGACATGTACCCCATGATGCTAAAGCAAAGCATTACCAGTTCTGCAAAATTTAGCTACGGAAGAAGCAGAATGTTTTTAGTACTGAAAATATGTTAGCAAGGAGCCCAGCTGGCATGGTTGGCAGCACGGAGGGCTGACCTGTGAAGGCACACATCCCGCCATGCTGAGGATCCTTAGCAATTCCCAGGGTGTTATGTAGTGGAGTCATTTCTGCAGCAAAGGAAGCCAACCTGCATACGTTCTAGTAACACACACATGTATCTATCCCACTGATAGGATTATAGAACTCGTTAATCTTTAAAATGTATTTACATTCATTTTCCTTTCTGTTACACCTGTGTGCTGATGAGAATATTAAAAAATCTAAATTGGGTTAAAAGCTGAAAAAAGCTGTAGTTGCCCCAGATGAGCTGAGGTAGCTGAACACGTGCACATTCCCAATGCACTGCAATACAGCATGGAGTGCTGCTCCAGAGGGAGCACAGAAAATGCTTCAAAGGCAGTTTTACTTGGCCCGTGTGATCTAATGTGCGCTCTGCATCATATGAGGAGGATCAAAGGCTTTAGTCCTTGAAAGCTCCTTGGGTACTTGCTTTTTAAATCTGCAGTCAATAGGAATCAAAACACTCTCAAATGTCTGGGTCTAAGTGACCCAACCAAGTTCAGTGCAGAAAGATGACATCTCCTAAATGCAAAGCTCCTAAATCTGCTGGGCCTTGTTTGTCCCCATCATAAATATAAACATTGATTTTTTGCATGGAATTTTATGCAAGTGAGATACAACTATGGGACCTAATGTTCAGACAGATTTAGTTTGTGTAAGCAAAGACTGACCTGAATGACATCAAGGCCTTGATACGCAGCTCCATCGCCATTTTTTGCAGGGGTACTTTTCTCCCCAGACAGGCTGAATCTAGATTTGCCATTACTCTGAGAAATGTAGCATTCAGGAAAAGGTCAAGCAGAGATCTCACTACTGCCTTAGGGTACAGGACTTCATGATTCTCACCACAGTTTTCAGCTTATAAAGCCCAAATTAACATTCAAGTACGTAAAAGCTTGAAATTGTTACCTGAAGGAGTTTTGAGACTTTGGAAGCATCCAGCTTTTAATTAAACACTTTTCTCTACAGCTGGGCATGCTGTAGTCACAGTTTAGCTTGTTAATTATGTTGTGCAAGGACCACTATGCTGTACTCATGGTGAATGATTTATTAACTCCAGCAATATAAAATCTTCTCTATAGTACTGGCACACCAAAGACAAAAGAGGTAATTACTGTGCCCAAAGACTTTAACTTCATTTATACTCTGCACACTGTCAGCACCATCACGGTGCCCTAAATCACAGCACTGTTATTTAGTCCTCAGCAAGCTTTCCATTGTAAAATGTTCAGCATCATCCTTTGCTTACAGCTACTTTGGGACAAAATCCAACAGATTATGTGTGCAAGGGGGATATGCCATACGTTAACAAACTTGCTATTACAGAAGGATTCATTGTTTCAGGCTCAAACAGCCGTTTCCATGACTCTTCCTGTGGTTATAGGACACGAGTTACAATGTAAAGTCTGCTTAAGAACTTCATTCAATTCCGTATACCATTACCCAGCAATGATCCTGATATTAGCAGCATTTTTTTACCCTTTTCAGCTCTGAAACATCTTGAGATGCCTGGAGTGTATATGAAATAATATCTTCTAATAACCTGCATTTGTTTAAATTTTTGTGTCTCAGTTGCCCAAGATGTTTCATTTTACTGTCTGGCACCTTTCCCAAACAAATAGATAAAAAATTAATGTGCTGGGGAGTAAAAGACCCAGCAGCAGGGTCTGTTCAGAAAAATAGCTGATGTGATTGCCCATGTGAAAGCAGTTCTTGTTTGTGCCAGGTGTACATCACTTGCTTGGAGTTTACATCTCTTCAAAATTGATGTGAAAAGACAAAGACCTAAAAGGAAAAGGAAAGTAGTCATTTTAAGGTGAAGCATAAACATTTTCAGAACCATTAGAGCTAGTGTAATTTGGCAGCCTCTTTCCTGGCTGCTTCTGTAGCAGCTGTAAATCAGAGGAAATCACAGTGTGACAGGCTTTGGCACGACAAGGGGATCCTTTCACCACTTCAAGACCTTAAAAACTAAGCCTAAAAGTCTCACTTGAATGAGCATTTTAGTTGGTGCAGCAACTTCCCTAGCTATTTATTATTTATATTACCTTACATGGGTTAACCCCCTTGTGTTAGGCACTTAACAATATAGACCTGAAAACTGGTCCCTGTGCTTGCAGTTACATCAGGTAGAACAGGAGTGACTGAAAGCAAATCACAGGAGTGATTGAAAGTGAATCACATTGTGGCTGACAAGGCTGAGCTTACCACAAACAGCCTCCTTAACTTCTTCCTTCAGGAGACAGAGAGTTTTCCAGACACCATTTCTCAGTGTCTTGAGGCTGTCCCCTAACATTAAATATTGATTCAATATTATCTGAGTTTCTCAGGGGGGCAAAATGAATATGCATTTTCCCAAGTGCGTGTAGTTTTAAATAGCAGGGTAATTGTAATGGTCTGCAGATAAGCCGAATGAACATTCAACAGCTAATACACTGTTTATACAAGCAGTGCATACATTAAGATATACTGTTTACTATCACCTTGGCCGACCTGCTTTGTTTATTCATCAATAGCAGTCGTTTGGGAGAGTTTCAATCTGGCACAGCTCTGCCCTGGACTCAGCAGGTTACCTTCCCATAATGTTAAACATGCTGTAGTGAAGTTAATTAGACATAAGTAGCTTGCCTTTTTTTTTTTCCAGAGAACATAATTTGTTGCTTGGCGAGCTGTGTACATCATTCTAGATGCAATGAACAGCCAGAGAGGTGTTGAAATCTGGTAGAATGAAGGAAATAGGTGTAAAACACAGGGAAAATGAATGAAAGTTTTGTGAGATTTAAAGATAGGTGGATGCTAGGATGATAAGGAATGCTTTTATTTTTTTGCTAAATGGGGCTATATTGACAATTAAAGCTATATTAACAATTAGGCTGAGAAAGTTGGGGCTGTTCAGCCTGGAGAAGAGAAGGCTGCATGGAGACCTCCTAGCAGCCTTCCAGTATCTGAAGGGGGCCTATAGGGATGCTGGGGAGGGACTCTTCATTAGGGACTGTAGTGACAGGACAAGTGGTAATGGGTTAAAACTTAACCAGGGGAAGTTTAGATTGGATATAAGGAGGAAATTCTTTCCTGTTAGGGGAATGGGTTGCCCAAGGAAGCTGTGAATGCTCCATCCCTGGCAGTGTTCAAGACCAGGTTGGACGAGGCCTTGGGTGCCATGGTTTAGTGTGAGGTGTCCCTGCCCATGGCAGGGGGGTTGGAACTTGATGATCTAAAGGTCCTTGCCAACCCTAACTATTCTGTGATTCTATGATTCTATAAGGACGTCATAAGGTTTGTATTTTATTCAGATTAACCAGGATAGAAATCTATCCTGTTATATTTTCTATCAGATGCCAGAAATATATCACAACATAACATTGGCCTCCCATTTTGTCTTTCTTCTCTCCAAAGAATCATAGGATCATAGAATAGTTAGGGTTGAAAAGGACCTCAATATTATCTAGTTCCAGCCCCACTGCCATGGGCAGGGACGTCTCGTTCTAGACCATGAATTAAAAGAAAGACTTTAATTTTCTGTCTGGTGATTTCAAGTATGTTTAGGTGGTCCACTCAAGCTAACTGCTGTGCAGGAGCTGACGAAAAACAAACTAAACCACAAATGCAGAAAACAGAAGTAAAAGAACTCTTGCAACACACTGAAAAGTCTGTGACAGCTCTTTAAGCATCGCAGAACCATGTGATTTCACACCAGCTGGTGATGTGGTTCATATGCTTCATATCAATAAAGGACTTAAAAGCTGCATGCTGCTCTGGAAATTCCTATCTGTACTTCCATTGTGTTTTACTGGCTGTTAATTTATTTTCCAATGTGAACCCAGTCATACGAAGCTATATTACAATGTTACTTTGGAGCTGCAAATTGGTTCTATTAATCTTATTTACTGTGGCTGTTTTGAATTTGAGATTGTAAAAACTGCATTGTGTTAGGTCACCTTGACCTAATCAATACTAATCATCTACCAGACTTTTTGAGAACAGAATGGTTTGCTGTACTCTGACTAAATTCTTACTGTTTTCGCTTGTACATGTCTTTGTTCTCTTTTTCTTTAATAGGATAAGAATCTAAAAAAAAGCAGTTAATCTGTAGCTATATGTTAAATTCAAACACAGTTAGTACAAAACAACAGAAAATAAGGGGCTGCATTGTCAAAGGCAGATCAATAAGTTTATAGCGAACAGATGATAGTAAACATTGTATTAATGAGAAGCAGAACTTCTGCTACCTTGATGTTGCATTTATCAATCCAAGCTGTCCATATAATTGAATTTTTCCTCCTCATCAAACTGCAATCTGCTTGTTTCCCTTTTTCTTATTTCTAGTTGGCTTTAAATTGGGACTGAATAAAACCATCAGGTGATGGGTTGCCAATATTACTCAATTGATTCAAGAGAAAGCAAAAGTACTGAAGGAGTATGTCATGTCCTGCAAAGTCTTGTAGCCAGTATTTACTGTTCAAGGCCTTTGTCTTTTATCCACTCAGAAAATAATATTCCCTAGTGCCCTTCCAAAATTTTGTTCTGCAGCTTTCAGTCATTTAAGCAGTTTTAATGCCTCACACCTCTGCAGATACTGCCCACTTAATTATGCTGCATTGAGAATGACAGGTTCCTGGCATCCTAACAAAGGATTATTAATAATGCTCTCCAGGAAAGCAGAACCAATAGAAAACAATTAAAAAATAAAATTTGACAGGTTCCCTTCCTCTCTTCTTCCCTCTTTTCAGCAAGGGAATCAGTAACCCTCTTTTACAAAATATGGTTGCATAATAATTCATTCAGGGGTAGAGGTATAAGAGCAGGACTTGCTAACCAGAGATGGGAACACACAGACCTCCTCAGTACCATCTCTACTGAAGTAGGTTCACTTTCAGTGAGTGCAGGGTTTGAAATCCTGGCAGGTACTCCATTTCCAGGGGACACATGGGCAATGAAAGGATGACCCATGAGGATTACAGACGCATTTGCAACACTTCACGTACTCTCAAACCCCTTACAGTATGTTGCCAGCTGTTCATTATGCTCTATCAAGGGTATCCTGATAGAGTGAATCACTTACAATGCCATGTGAATGTGCAGAGAACAGAACTCCCATCCCTTCCCTAAAAGCATCCAGTGCTGGTACACAGGAAGATTTTGCTAACTCAATGTGGAATTCAGCCAGTATAGCAGGAATAAAACATCAGTTCCTTTTCCCTTTATAATTATTTTTGCTCACCTCAGCAAGAATTATGTTTGTTAATAGTACAAACCAAGGAACCAGAGTAGGAAGATGTTCTCAATAGCTTTTGGAAATCCAAACCGCTCACCATTAATCCAGCAAACCCACAAGGCAAGCTGGCGGTTTTCTGGCTGTAGGAACTTCCGAATTATTTTTGGTATGTAGGTGGTAAAGAATTATTTGAGGAATATTCATTGTGAAATCAGGTTCTATCTGTTTGAAGCTTGGGTTTTACTTCTTTACTGTCAATGAAAATTCACTGCTTGAGTTATCAGTTCTAATTTTGGGTTTGGTGGCTGTCATCTCCCCCACCATGATGTAAGGTCGTCATGTAAAAAAGAAATCATACTTCACTTCTGCTGCTTGCTAGCAGACAAGTCTGGAAGTGTTTTACTTGGAAGTGCTCAGAGAACATATTGGAAAACCAGAAAACATAAGGAAAAGGCTGTTCTTGCCAACAGATTCTCCTTTTCTGTCCCACTTGAGAGCAACAGCTATAAATGGCTGTGGAGAGGTCCTGCCTTCAGCATCAATGCAATGGATGAATGAATGGCTTCAGGTTTTGTATAAGACAAAGTGCTAAGGTTGGTCTTTACTGTGATATTCATAAAGAAACAGCTTCTCTGCTCTAAATCTTTAACACCCATACTAAAAATAAAAAACAAATATTCATTTTTTGTGGACTTCTTACCAATGAAAAAAAATCCCCAAACCAAACCCGGAAACTCTTTCAGCTGCATAAAGACAAAACCATCTCCAAACTTCAGCCCCCTGCCCCTTGGGCTATAGTAATTTAATAAAATATTTTAAAAGAAGAATAGCTATTACTCTTGATCACTCAGCTCCTGCAAGTTTTATTCCAAATTGCAAGATATATTGACAATGTTCTTCCCACATTAATGTGTGGTACACTGATGTCTCCTACTCCCTGATCTAAGTCTTTACTTAGCTGATGCACTGGCTTCGTGGGAAGGAAGCGGTACGTTGAATAAGGACATCTGAGGCAGGGCTATCCTTTTTCCTCAGTTCCTGTACCAAGGACCTGCTATTTGCTGATTCTAGGATGAGAATTTGAGCTACTGCCTGTGTCTTTTTTTACTGTGTTATTTAGCTCAAGTCTGTAAGAGATTTTGACATCAACTCACAGCAGCTTTTAGCCAACAGACATATTTTTTTAGCTAATACATTGGTATGTTTCAACCAGTACTGGCATTACCTTATCTCAAAGTTCACCCATCTTATTATTAAAAGGAGAATCAAAGTTAGTTGTTCTGTATACACATGGTATTTGAATGTAAGGAATGTTGATTACGTACAGGTTAGCCTTTTTAACATTTTGGTTTGTCTTGGGGCAGGGAGTGAAAGAGAAGAATAAAAACCTTGTGATAATTTGTAGAGGAACTCAGACATTGGCTGAAATCTGGTTCTGTAATTCAAAAGTTTTCACCAAATACTGCAAGAAATTTTGTTTGAGTGATGGCAGAAATACTACTCATAGTATAGGTGTGCCCTTTCATCTTAGGCTTTGAATGTCAAGCTTGTTTCATTACTGACTTCAGGCAGGTTTTTTAGCTATATTGGATATGACTCTGTGTGCATGAAGATACTAATTCTGGTGTTCCCTATATTTTCTAGAAAAAGGTGACTGGTCTCTTGCTGACTAGATGGCAGCAGGGGAGTTCATAACAGACTCAAAAACCAGTTGTGAAGTGTCCCTTCCACTCCCCTGAACCCTCCCATTCTACATCAGCAAGCTCAGGAATGCTTTCCTCTTCTACTCTCCTTTTTGATGATGTGCAGTTTCAGTGCACATCTCCTTTTTGATGATGTGCAGTAGAGGGAGGAGAGCAGAATGGAGGTGGGCACTGTGGCTGGTGCCACGTTCCCCTTCACAGAGCCACAGGGGCTGGAGCAGGGTCTAGCTCCCAGAGAGATCTGGAATCAGCAAGTTGAAACCCATTCTCAACAAATTTCTTTCCATGTTTCAAGCAAAACTGCAGCTGATGTTTCTGTTGTCACATGAAAAACAGTTTGAACTTTTTTGCCTTTTTAGCAGAATAATTGGTTTCTTCAAACTTGCAAAGGAAATGGTGTCACGAAGAGATGGGAAGGAACAGATGTGGGAGCTGGGAGAACAGGAAGACAGCATTAATTACACAGAGCCTGACAGGTAGAAGAGAAAATTTTACACGTTTCAAAAGGAAAAGAATTAGCAGATGACTGAGAGCAGGGAAAACTGGTAATTTCTTTGAGCTGTTAAATGGTTTGCCAACCTCTTCATGGAGCTCTGTGTGTTAGAAAGAAACCAAAAACAATCAAAGCAGCAGCCTGTAAATATCTAGATTATCATATTTCTGAATATTTACAAAGTTCTGGGTGTGGGAAATGTTTGTGCTTTTGGCTTTGAGTTCTTGTGTTAAAATATAATAAATTGACAAAATTCACAGGCACCTTAGCTGGCCTTGCTATTTTACCATCCCCATACATCCAACTCTCTCCTGGTAAGAAGGGCAAGGGTTGTCTCTATGGTAATGTCTATGGAAATTTCTAGCTTTAAAACTACATACTTTTAGTAGTGCAGAGTTTAGTAAGATTCA